GCAATTGCAGATCATCTTACTGATGCAATTGCAGATCATCTTACTGATGCAATTGCAGATCATCTTACTGATGCAATTGCAGATCATCTTACTGATGCAATTGCAGATCATCTTACTGATGCAATTGCAGATCATCTTACTGATGCAATTGCAGATCATCTTACTGATGCAATTGCAGATCATCTTACTGATGCAATTGCAGATCATCTTACTGATGCAATTGCAGATCATCTTACTGATGCAATTGCAGATCATCTTACTGATGCAATTGCAGATCATCTTACTGATGCAATTGCAGATCATCTTACTGATGCAATTGCAGATCATCTTACTGATGCAATTGCAGATCATCTTACTGATGCAATTGCAGATCATCTTACTGATGCAATTGCAGATCATCTTACTGATGCAATTGCAGATCATCTTACTGATGCAATTGCAGATCATCTTACTGATGCAATTGCAGATCATCTTACTGATGCAATTGCAGATCATCTTACTGATGCAATTGCAGATCATTTTACTGATGCAATTGCAGATCATCTTACTGATGCAATTTCAGATCATTTTACTGATGCAATTGCAGATCATCTTACTGATGCAATTGCAGATCATCTTACTGATGCAATTGCAGATCATCTTACTGATGCAATTGCAGATCATCTTACTGATGCAAATGCAGATCATCTTACTGATGCAATTGCAGATCATCTTACTGATGCTATATCTTCTTACTGATGCAATTGCATGTCCTTTTTCAAAACTCAACATACATAGTCATTGGTTGTGATAGCATAATTGTTTACTTATAACTGGAGAGTGCCTCTGTAATAGTTTTTTGATTGGTTTATTTGTGATGTTATTTCCTGATGTCAGGAAACAAGCCAATGTCTCTCCTATACACAATGGTATTCCCTTGACCTCATTACTCATCCATTCTGTTTCCTTGTTTTCATGTTTCAATAATATTTGATTCCTTTTGTCCAAACTTTCACCCATGTATCCCCTGTCATAAGTCTTTTCTAGCACAGGAGGTCTGCCTCACTAACTTGGTTTTTACCCACAAAAATTCAAAACCCCAATGTAACATCTTATTTTTAATGTTCCCTATCAGAGTTGATATTCTCTCTATTAACATATTGGAGATTATTGTGTTGTATGTACTGTATTTCATTTGTGTGTGTTTTTTTTAGAAGTGTTTTATGCTGGTTGTACATTTTTGGGTATGGAAGGCCAATTAAGAAATATTTAAGTCATAATGCAAATGTGTAATAACTTTAATATAATTTCTTATACATGTGCAGACATTCAGTGGACTTGTGTATTTTGCTAATTTTCGTATAATGGCTGAGGTATCAACACCGTTTGTGAACATGAGGCAAGTATATGACCTTGATATTAATTTGTTACATGTTTAAAATTATATCTATACTGCTAACATGTAATAAGCTATTTGTGGGCTCATAATTAAATTGCCTATTAGTTGGCACCCAATAATAGTTTATAATTTTTAAATTGAGATAATGAAAATAGGAAAAAATGAAGATAGACTGGGTTTTGTAATAGAATTGTGTAAATTTTATAATTTAAGCCAAAGTATTGAATGAACGATTTTACTCAGTAATTTTTCCTCCTTTAACATTAACTTCCATCTCTTTATTCAATACACAGAAAATAAGAAACATCTTTTCGAAATAAATTTCCTTTTCAAGTTTAATCCCTTAGCCTTTGCATAATACCCTTAAAAATTTCAAATTTAAGGATTCTCATACTAACTTAATTCTTTTAAATAAGCAACTACTAGGTTATGAGGAATAAGTGATGTATTTTTTTATTGGCAGTGGATAGGATACATCAGAAAAATGTTGGATTGTTGGTAGGTAGAGGTGGTTTAATTTTGATGGAAAGATGTGCGAGAAATGATTTATTTTTTGTTGACAGTGGATTGTGTTGGTATTATGGTTATACTTTTTAGATACTAATAGTTTTCTGTTTCTGATACTAAAAGTTTAAAGTTAACCCTTTCCATTCGTATGGTGTCACGACGATTCCTTCTTCGACCATACTTTATAGCGAGGGGCGTCGTACGTACGCCCTGTATAGCTTTCATGATAATTATTTTATAGCTAGGCTGCCCTCTCGGATTTTTTGAGTGTGATGTAGCAGTATTTCTGCGGGCCGCCTGTATTTAGACCAAATAAAATGCCTGCGCCAAGTAAATCCCGACATTTAGTGTAGACGATGTAGTTTCCCTGCTTTGGTACAGCCTCAGGCAATGGTAATGGGGCAGACTGGAAAGGGTTAATTAGGCAAACAAAACAGTTGTGTTTCCCTAGCCTGCCCTGATGAAATGAAATACAATTTTCTATAAAATATAACAGGTGGATGATGAGTACCCTTCAGGTACAGAAGTCAAACAAATGGTTTGTTGCCAATGGGCTAATGATGGTGGTGACGTTTTTCATGGTGCGTATTCTATCGATGCCTTACTACTACTATAAGATGCTAACAGTGTGGAGGCTGCCTATCATCCACACACTAAGTTACCCGATGAAAGCTTGTTGGGTGTCAACTTGTTTCGTGCTCGATATCATCAATGTTATATGGTTCAGGAAGATGTGCAATGGAGCAAAAAAGATACTGAAAGGAAATTCAGAGACAAGGATAAATGGTACCATCATCCGAAAACGGGAAAAAGGAAAGTAGTAAGATAATGTGGAGAGGAGCAAGGAATGTACACTATAGGTATTTAGTGGTTAAAATGGCAAAATGGAGGAAAATAAACAAGCACTTAATGCATGTTAATCACATATAATTCTTGGGGTTTTCAAGTATCCATGCTGTGAATTTTCTTTACACATACATTCAAAGTATTCACAGATTTCTTTTATGAGTATAATCGTTATTACATAATTACCATATCAGAATATTATCAATATAGAGAATCAGTGGCAAATTCGAGGGAGGAGGGGTGGCTCCCTTAAATTGTTCAAAATTATTTTTGAAAAGGGAGAAAAAAGGAAAATTATAATCAAGTTTAGGTCTGAGAGTGTTTCAGGTGCCATAATCATAAATTTTCATCTATTCTCCATCTGTGAATGTCTCTGCCTGGGCCTCTATTTTGAAGTCTTGGATTCACCACTGAAAATAGCATTAACACACTAAAGTATGTGTTATGTCACAAACAACTTGTAGTTTATTAAGCATCCATGAGTGTTCTTTATGTAAGTATAATGTGTGTATGTGTAAGTATAATCTACGTATACATGTACATACATTATATTTACACATGGTGAAGCTAAGTGGTTCATGTCCGCTTCAAAAATTAATATTGTACTTCTCAAAGCAATATAACGACCATTGGAGTTTAATTTAGAAAGTATTCAACTATCCGTGCCAATTCATATATTTATTTTATTTTTATTTTATATCAAAGTATATAACCTTAAATTCAGTTATATTGAATTGTTGGGTCTATAAAATATCAGGCTCCTTAGAAATTATTAAGGGCTATTTCTTAGCTACATATTTCAGCCAATTCAATAAAAAAGAACAAATTGTGTAATATTATGCAAATGTGAGCAAAATTATTGGTGCTTATGAATAATGAGCATTCCATATTTAAATGATTTCTAATATTGTAAATATGTTATTAAAAATAGAATTTTATTGTTATTTTAATTTGAAGATATGTTCTTATAAAAAATAAAATGTTTTATAATTGAATAATTTACCTAGAGGTTATTAGTACAATATTACAGTACATCAACATAGCAATAGATCTACAACCAGTAGGGGGACAAAAGGGACACCCTTGTAGCAGCCAAAAATATGTGTGAAACCATTCATATAAAGACTACATTTGTTACAACTCTGGAAATTCTAGTAGCATAGGCCCCAGGACCCCACAATAGGAAAACACAAGGAGGAAACACACCAAACCTCCCAACTCAAACCAGGTCGTACAGCATATTGTGCTTTTGAAAACATGATGGGTGGGTCAGGAAGGATTTCATACTTGTATTCATACGAATAACGCCCACTTTGAATAAACAGCCCCTCAAATAAACGCACTTTCTAGACCCTCATTTGGAATTGGCCTACCCCTTCTCCCCCCCCCCCTTTTCAAATAACTGTAAACAAATCTATTGGAAGCAACAACATTCTCAACACTTTCTGAAGACATGGCTAAGCATTGTATCCTCACCCCTGTCGTCCGACGTGCCAATGAGATCATCTGGACCCAAAAATAATAATTTTCCTATCCCAATACATGTAATGTAATTTTGACCTCTAAATTCTCATTGGCTATGTTCTCACGCTGGTAACGGTTAGCAGGATTAGCTGCCGTGCGTCCATACAAAAAATCCCGATCCGGATACCAAAAATATGATGATGGAATCACTGGCCAATCAGAAACTGGAAATTGTAAATGCGTACGTGTGATAGGTTGATGATAAAAACGCGCTCAACTTGCTAACTGATCGGGCGTTCTCACGCAGGTGGTAACGGTTAGCTCCCAATCCGGATACTAGGGCTCTCGTGAGAACCAGGCTAGAGTCGCGCTTGGAGGCCCCAACTTTCTGCTGGCGCCACAACTTCGTACAGATGCATTCATGGTAAGAGCATGGAGGAATTCCTTTAGTTCCCCCATGGTAAAAGTGTGCTCCATTATGAATTTTATGTTAATGTTTTACTATTTTTGATTGACTTTCGGCAAAATGGGATTCATGGTTTGTAAGTTGGAAAACTGGTATTGAGCAAAGCGTGTTCCCTTCTTTCTAGACTGTCTTTTCTTCCCTCTATTTTCTATCTTTTTGGCTACAATTTGGAACATTTAAGTACTATACATGCTTTAGTAGAACTGTTTTTGGAATGGCCATTCTGCAAACATTCTTTGGTTCTACTTAGCACCTTAGTACATTATACTCAATCCATGACCCAAACCATGAGATTCTACTGGCTGTGTACATATTTTTAAAAAAAATAACTGAAACAAATTTCATAGAAAATATCTGAATTTATTTACATATTGAGCTTGTAAATATATTTTTCTACATTCGATTCCAGCTCAGAAAACAATTTCATAAAATTAATACTCAACAAAATAATGTAGTGTATATCATTCCAACTTAAAGTTACAGCAAAAGTAAAACTATTCGAACAATAATACTATTATTAAAATCTACTGTATTGACAAATAGACAGTTAAATAATACTTTCCCTGTATCCTATTCAAAGCTTTAATTACATTTTGAGGGGTTTTTTTTGCAGACAGTACATCTTTTGTAAGGCTTATATTGATATGCTTCCATAAGCTTAGAGTAAGTGTTCTCAACTATATCGCAATAGGGGCCAAAATTGTTTATTGAATAAATTTGAAGGGCCAGTGGAAGAGGTGTGCTTTGGCACATAGTGCCATCCAAGAGCCGCAGGTGCGAGCCAGGGGAGGGTTAGGGAGGGGTGTCCCCCTTCCCAATTAGAATTTTTTTGAAAAGAATAAGATGCTAATATAGGCCATCATGACCTAAGAGTCAGACACAGACCCATATATAGAACTACATCCAACAGCAGGCCTGCAATACTGTGCGAGAGACCGAAGGTTTTGCTGTGATAGTTCTTCAGTTTTGATTGATTAAATCGCTACAATTTGTGGGGCAATATATAGGCCTAGTTGGCAAAACAGAATGCAAAATTATTAAGGTTAGAAATCTTGAATTTTTACTTCAATGATGTATTATAACTGACCTTTTTAAATTATGTATAAATATTATAAATCTGTTAATTCTTGATTTTTATGTATCGTTTTTGAGTTGTTTTTATTGGGCCCCTATGTATCAGCTATGCTGGAAAGGGTCACCCACTTTAAACATTTTGAAATAAAATAAATAGGCCCAAGCCTAACTCGCGGGCCGCATAACACAGATTTGCATGCCGGAGATGGCCCACGGGCTACCAGTTGAGAACCCCTGGCTTAGAGGTCTGAGAGAAGAATACATTAGTTAAGCGTAGGGTCTATGAAAAGCATAAACTACATGAACACCTTCACCAAAACAAAACAATTTTAATTTCCCATGTTTCTATTTTTTTTTAAATTTTTACAATCAAAATACGAACTTCATATTTCTCCTCTTATTTAAATGAGCTCCATCTTGGTGAATTTGCTGTTTGACGTGAAGGAAACAACCCGTTTGTTGATTATAGACCAGAGGATGAACAAGGTACACTACCAACAGTTATTCTCAAGACTTTCGAACCTTAAATTAAAAGTTTATTTCGTTACAGCCTCCATGCATTTTCAAGTTCTTTATCTCGTCAATCCAATAAAGGCAGCATTCATTATTGGCAACAATCATGCTCCAAATAACCTGTAATTTAAAAAGAAAGAATTGGTAAGAAAAAAATAATTTGAGCTTTTAATAATACTGTATAATTAGTAAACTAAATTTTTCATTCAACCAGATGGAAAGAGTGATAATCTATTCGCCACTACAGCAATTAAGTAATTCATAATAATTCTAGCTGAAAATAATCTGTATTTAAAAAAAAAAAAAACCTAAACATAGAAGAATTTTTTTCCAAAAACTGTTATAATACAAGATCTTACAAAATCAAAATGCTTACAGCACACTCTCTGATGTTTGGAGTCTGAGTGCCACTACCAGCTCCAAGTTAATGAACAGATGTGAACAAGTAGTTTTAATGGTTTAAAATTAAATTAATTTCATTTAATTAATTTTATTTCATTTTTTACATTTTTTTTTGGTTAATTTTTTCTTTGATTATTATTATTGTTATAATTATTACTATTTTAATATTATGATTATCCCAGTTTTCATTACGATGGTTATGAGTGAAGATAAACATGAATGGGCTAATATGACTGAGGTCGTGCTCAGGTTCGATGTGTCCTTAAAATGGCTGATCAGGCCAATCCTTGATCAACAATAACGAGAAGATAGCATTCTCTGTGATTTCTGTGTGCAAATTCTGTAATAACGCGGTGTAGGACGCCCTCTTGCAATTACAATTACTTCTGAACTTTGACATCTATGATCTTCATGCCTATTCTGGAAGAACCGCCATAGTAACAACTAGGACACCCTCTCTCAATTACAATTACTTTCTATTGTTACCTTTCTATTGGACACTTCTATTTGTTACGCGAACTGCGGAGAACGCTATCTTACTAGTATAAGAATTTTGATGAACAAGTTTTGGAGCAGTGAGGGCAGTAAAATTTTGCATTTTAAGGATCTTGCTAGGATGCTTTCTTCTTCTGTCACTTCTCAGCAGATGGTGATGGCGATTTGCTTCAAAAGACTTGATCCAATCTCTGGTTGCAGCTGTCCATTCAATTCTCTGTTCACCCAGTTCTTGCCATGTCTCATAATCAATATTGGTGGCTTTCAAGAAGTAGGCTTTTAGAGTGTCTATGAATCGCTATCTCTGCCCTCCAACTGATCTTTGACCATCTCTCAGGTGTGAGTAAAAGAGCTGCTTTGATTCGTATTGAGATGAAAAAATGTTAGTCATTTCACCTCAGAATAATTACACTCTTGGGACAGCTGTCTCTGGCTTAGAAATGATTGCATAATGATAATTAAAATTTTCCCGAAAGATTTTTGCTGCGACTTTCCGACAACTAGGCCTAGGCCCAACTAGGCCTAGGCCCGGCTAGCCGACCCACTGGCACCACCCCTGTACACTGACTGTGGAGCTTTGAATATGATCCACAATGAAATTTCAAATTGAGTCTTTTTTATGCACAAAAATGCAAAGTTTGAGTTTCTAATAATTATATTTTTCAGATGAGAAAAGAGCAACTTACACTATCATCATTAGTATCACAGTTATATTCCAAAATCCAATGAATATCCTAAAGTATCGTAAATTGAGTAAGAATTCTCGAATTTTATCACCTGAAAGACAATCACAATTTTTTTAGTGGTTTTAGTATCTTGATTTATATGTTGCTTGTGTGTAAATGTTAATATTACAGGTTCCATGTTACAATGAGATGAACACAAATATTCAAAAATACACCACCAATCAATCAGTCCATCATACATATACTTTACATACAAAATAAATATTTACAAAGTACAATTAACTGTGGTAAAGTGCAGCTTTATTGTTTCTTTAACAATAATTATATTTATTATTTTGTTAATTGTTGTTGTTAAAAGTTCTTAATTTTCTCAGTAAAAGTTTCTAGTTTACCTCTTACTTACATATACCTGTAAGTACATAAATGAAGCGATTATATTTTGTTTTAACTTTTGGTGTTTTTTTATGTTAAAATTTAAAGACTGAAGCTGTAGCTTGATGGGTAAGATGCTTACCTTCCAATCCCAGAGTTTTATGTTCAAATCTTGGGATATTTTTTCTCACAAAAAGTCTCATAAAAAGACTTGGTATAAAGAATATTATTTTTGCCCTTTAATAACTATGTGTTCGATGAGAATAAAATTTTAAACAAAAACAAAGACATACTAGTTGTTGGTTCTGAAACATTTTCTCCAAAACCTTCAACTTCTTGTTTCTTCTTCCTTCATGAATGAAATTAGTAAAATATGAATTGAACATAACTTTCAACTAGTCACTCATTCATATATGATACAGTACAACTAATCATTTTCATAGAATATAATCACTCACTTTATCATAGAGTACAACCACTCACAGGGCTCCCTCTAGACTCCGCAAGTTATGGGAGTCTCCCGGAAATCGGGACGCCCTCCTACACTCCCGCAAGCAAGAATCTCCCGCAAAATAAACCATAACCAAAAAAGCAAGTGCTTGTGTGAGGCAAGCCGGAGAACAAGTAAAAATTCAACAAGTTATAATAATACGAATAATAATTAAGATCTAAACAATAACAGGAGACAGAAAACGGGTTACAAGAAGAAAAGGACAAAAAAGAGACAAAAACGACAAAACTGATCGTCTACAGAGGACGAAAATTAATTAAGGTTTTAATTTTTGTAACTAGAAATTAAGTGATTCTTAAGATTTAAGGAAAAGCTTTTCTTTGATTCACAGTTTTTTATATGGTCATTTCGATTGTTCCATAGTTTCGGTCCGCTAAATCTAATATTATGCTGAAAAGAAGTCTTTTTATGCTGGGGAATATGCAATCTGAATGCAGATCTAGTACGGTAGGAGTGGTAATACGAGTTTGGGTGGAATAAGCTACAGAATTGATGGGGTATAAGGATTTAGTTGAAGAATAAAGAAAACATTTATGTCTTCAAGTTTGAGTAAGTTGAGGGACGTAAATAACGGGTCAGTGTGAGCTAGTGGTGAAGAACCTACTATTATGCGTACTGCTTTTTTTTGTTTAATAAAAAGATTGGTAAGATTTGATTGATAAGTATTGCACCAAACTATATTGCAATAACTCAAGTAGGGATTAAGTGGGATATAAGAAGAAAGTCTAAAAATGATACCAATGTTCTTGGAAATCTTATTTTCAAGTTCTTTGAAGTGTCTTCCATGTTAATCCAGAATCAATATTAATACCCAGGAATTTTGTGTTTTCTACAAGAGGAAGATACGGTATGTCAGTAGAGGACAGAGTAATTTGGATTGGATATTGGTGAATTGGTGGGAGAGTTTTTATGGCTTATTATGGCCCAAAATTGTAATTTTGAATAGGCAAATTAATTTTTTTGGTTATGGTCTGACAACCTCTTCATGGTGTCAGATGACAGGGGGTCTGGACATGTCCAAATTGGAGAATTGGGGGACTCTCCCTGCCCCCTACTGTTACCACCACTGCAACCAGTGACTCATTTACATTCAATTACTAACCAACCAAACCACATTGGCCACGTTGCGCAAATCCTAGCTGCTGATAGGTGGGGCTGTCTCAACCAAAACCTTAAACTTATGTCTCAGTGTCTCGCTAGCAATATTGGAAGCTCCAGCATTTTGACCAGCTTCCATTTAACCAAGTTAATGTACAGCCTGCTAAAAATAAAATATTGATTTAACTGAATACTTACAACTTGAAATTAAGTACAGCACCAGCATTCACAAGCAAGGTCCTAAAATCATCAGAAGAAAGTTTGACTTTAATCCTAATAATAGTTTTAATATGATTATACTACTATCAAAATAGATAATACATCATTCTTACATAAATAATGATTGAACAATGAAATACAATACAAAAGCACAAATCAAAGCTGTGTACGAGTTGTTAACGTTAGACCAGGTTAGACTACACACTGCCTAACCAAATATGCATGAGTGCGTGTCAGCCTACAATTTGGTACGAGTTTGTATATGTTACGAATTGCCACTTCACCTGGGTCCTACTAAGCACCACACACACCACACAGGAACACAAAGGGATGACAACATTAACAAAAGAATAGAAAACTGCTTAATAATCAATAAAACTAAATTTTTGTAACAATAAATTTTCAAATTCCATTAAAAATTGATGTATGTTGTTAAGGTTTGCCCGCCGTATTTTAAAAAGTAATACGTTGATATTGTGTATATCTAATGCATTGCCATGTCAGCGGAAATGCATTCAACCGTGACCTTAATGGTCTGTGTTTCATATCATTAAGAGAGGAGGCCACATGAAAGGTAATGAACCTAAGAATTTTATATAAAAAGGAAAAAAAATAAATGTTGAGTATTTAAATTGTGGTAGGGCTATATTAATTATGTAAATAAAATTATGTCAAGAAAATTAAGAATTCATTTATTGTTTCTATATATTTGTTGTGTAGGCTACAACAATGGAATAAAGAAGATTGCATTAATATGAAAGATTGAAATTTAATTAAATTTAATTCAATTCAATTAATTCATTTTCCAGAAGACATAAAAACATACAAAAATAACAGACTACACTAGTCTGGTGGATCATTGAAAAGTGAAAAGAAAAGCTCACTATATGAAAACTATAAGAAGAATAGATTCAGAATGAGCAAATTTTGAAGTAAATAATTAGTTTCCATTGGAATACCAGTTGAACAATTATTTTACTTTTCATTATTTACAATTTTTGTGTTCATTTTTTCATGTGGTATTATCTTGAACTTTTTTTATGTCAACGCATTAACTTTGGACGCATGGCGGCAATACCTGTACCAAAATTCATTTATTTTAACCATAATTCGAACAGCTAGCGAAGTAAAAGTTTGTTTTTATTGATTATTATGCCGTTTCCTACTCTTGTGTGGTAATAATATTTTAATAATTTTTGCATCTGTGTGGTCTCATATGTTGTTCCATGTTTAGTAGGGCTTGTTCAGCTTTTATCTAAATAGCATAGGCCTAGTAATAGCCTACCTAGCCTAAGCCTGCTCTCTTCCTTGCCACTTCAGTTCAGTCCGCAGATAACCTAGCCTAGATTCGCATGACTAGGCCTAGGCCCTTCTATTTAATAATAATAATAATAATAATAATAATAATAATAATAATAATAATAATAATAATAATAATAATGTCATTATAACGTATCCATCCCTAGTAGGCCTTTAGGGGTGCTCGCGGCGCCGTTTTCCACCTGTCGAGTGTATAATTTACTTAGTACTCTACTCTAATGCTATCGAGTGGAGGCCTAACTTAGAACTAGCTAGGAAGGATAGGCGGCTAGGTATGGTAGCACAAAAATAATGAGCCAAAATGTACATTTAATCGAAACTATAACCTTAATAAATTATCACGTACCCGAATAAAATTAAGTCTGATATCATGTTTCAAAGTAATTGTATCTTTACGTCAAAACAAAACACACTAATTAACATTACCAACTTGACATTTCTTGCCCACAGAGTCAGTCATTCTGCTGGACAGCGTCACCAACGAGTAATTTAATTTTAGAGACAAAAACAAAAAACAAAAGAAAAAGAAATCGAGTATGGGACGCCAATAAAATGCGTTTGGGTTATACATGTTTGGTTTACAGCTACATTAATCCATGCTCCATTTTGATTGTTAAAAACATCAGTAAAATCGATTCATGTTTTGTGATAAATTTCAGGTAGATAGTTTTGATAGAATTCCAGATAATTTTAAAATTCAATAAGGAGTGTTATAATGTTTTCATAAATTTATAAAATGGAATTCAATATATTATTTACATATTTCCTATAGAATCTGTCAACAGGTCCTTTAAAACTTATTTAGAATGTGTATAGAAAAGAAATCCCCAATTACGATGTACAAAATTTCATTTATAAAAATAGAAAAATAAAATAATTTATAACAAGGATTCTATAGAAGCTCAATAGAAGTGTATATTATTTTATACATTCTATAAATTTATGTCAGTATAATTTCTATCAACTTTCTAAACAATTTTATAGGAAATCTTTCAAAATTACATAGAAAATATATCAGAATTAAACAAGAATTCTATTGAATTTTTTTAAAAGAAAAAATAGAAATTCTAAAGAAATTATATTAATAAAATCTATAGAAATAAAATTAAAATTAAATCTAGAAATTGTATAGAATGTATTTAGAACTCTTTCTATAAAAAGTATAATATTGTTTTTTCTAAGTAATTCAATTCTCTATAGAATTATATTTCTATAGAATTATATAGAGAAAAAAAACTTTTTGGATAGATTTTCTATAGAATTCTTAAACCTCTATAGACTTTCTATGGAATTCTATAAAATATTTTTCTACAGGTTTCTATGTATAAATTAAAATATTGAACAGTATAGCCAGCGCGTGTATGTAAAATAATGGCCGTGCGTTTTTACCATCTTATAATCCCTTTTTGCTTTATTCGAATTTAATATTATTCAATTTAGTTCAATTCAAAATTTATTAACTTCCTTAAACCAGAAAACAATTACAACAGATTATATCTGTCTCTTATACACATCTAGATGTGTATAAAGAGACAGGTTACCACCACTGCAAC